GAATTGAATTGAACTGAACTGAATCGAAATAAAGAATAAAACAATAATCTAAATATCCATGTGCATATCTAAAGAAGTCGTGGTTTCTTATTTTGAGAAACCCTTGAGTCTCCTGTAGCCATGTGGATCTGCCTAAACACTTGCTGGTACAAAGCTCCGCCTATTTACTCAAAGCTCCTCCCTGGAGCTGAGTCTGCAGCCAGAGCACCCCTCCCCCGAAGCATTGTTGTGAAGATGTGCTGAAGTGGGAGTGTCTGAAACGGTAGGAGGTTCCTAAAGAGACAGAGATCAATTTCAAAGTTTTTAGGTAGGCAGTGATGCAAAGTCAAATTATTTTTTTTTTTGATACAAACAGCATTTTCTTAACAACTGAAGGTAACGTAGTTGATTATGGTATAAATTTGAACTAGTGCCTGGAAGATACATAATACCCAAGAGTGCCTGGAGAAAACCCACATATGCACAGAGCGAACATCCAAACTCTACCCAGAAAGKTTCCCRGGGCGGGATTCAAYCCCACAACCTTYTTGCTGAGAGGCAAMTGAGCCACGATGCCACCTGTTTAAAACATAAGATATTTATTTCAGACGTTCCAGAAAACGTTCTTATGTTGTGGAGTAAGTGTTTTTGGAAAAACCCATTTATTATTTAATTTATTGTTTCAATATACATGCTATCTATTAAAGCAGCAACATACCTTTTTTTACCTTGCAATTCATTTTAACCCTAAAAAAATATTGAATTGAAAACTGAGCRCAACAACTTTGGTGATTTTCTTGACTCTTTTCATTATTAATGATGGACCCTCATGACTTTACCCTCAGCGTGCAGGTCGGTCATGTAATGAGACCCGCTGTGCTTCTCTTCAGTCAGTTTATGTGCTGCAGTTCTTGCAATTACCTCATCGCTGCATTGTCATAACYGGTTGCAGGCCAGCATTCTGAGATTTGTCTTCACCAATTACTGCCTCTCAGTGTCATGAAATAACGGGGCCCCGCGCACGAGGCGGGATTAATGTGTTGTGTCCTAATTATTTTCTTCTGATGCTGAAAGTGAGCGTTGGAGTCAAGCAGGTATGAGGTGCTTCCGTCCAATTACCATTCATCAGTGTCAGCGAGAGAGTCTCATGGGATCATCTGAATGCCTCCACACTGTACTGACCACGGATGAGCTCCGCTTCCCAAACATCTGTTCTGCTTCTGGTGTCGAGACTTTTCTCCTAAAAGTAGCATCGATGAGTGCTGGAAAGAGTCTCTAAGCTATTTAATTGAATTAGTCTGGGGCAACATTTAGCTTAGTCTCAGATAAGCCATCCGRGAAACAGCATGCTTTAGTTTTRTAATTCTGTTACTGTCTGTGTGAATCCTTTTTAAAACAGGATGGCTCCATGAGCTGGGGAAACGGCTGGAGTCACCTTATGCCATCGGAGAACTCAATGCGACCGGCAACGGTCCCTCCATCCGCAGCGTCTACATCGCCTCGCTCTACTTCACCCTCAGCAGCCTGACCAGTGTGGGTTTCGGCAACGTGTCCGCCAACACTGATGCTGAGAAGATCTTCTCTGTGTGCATCATGCTCATAGGAGGTACATAAGATGCATCTTAACGCAGTTCAGCTCTTTTGAATGGGGTTCTGTAGAAAGGTTACGAGCAGTCATTATCTTACCTGTTGTGGGTGGTTCTCTGAGTGACCTCAGTTTGGTGAAAAAGAGTTTGTTTTTGATCAAACTGATGAGCTAATAGTCATAGTGTGGCTAAGACAAAGTGGAATACTATCATCTTGAAGCAACTTCAAACACAAAATTTCGTAAAGATAAAAAAACAGTTTTTCAACAATAAAAACTTCCCACTGCTGTCCCTTTTGTATTAGACCATTATAAACCTACAGCTATTTACACAGAGGAGCRTGTCAAGCTGTGGTTCATTGCATTAATGTTCAGCATGAAATTAGTTGCAAAAATGTGTAACTGTTGCGAAACCAAACATTTTATAGTTTAATGGGTTTTAACACAGCTTTGCTTTTCCTTCAACAAGGTTGTCTGTGTTTACCCTTTTTATTTCTGATAAAATGTTTTATATTGCACAAATAATTCATTGGACTGTTAACCAGCATAGTCATTAATGAAGAAACTACAGATTTTTCTGTAAATAATTGTTTAATCTAAAAGTAACCTTGGTGTAAAGACTTTTAAAATAAGCTAGTTTGAACCTCTAGAAAATTTGATAGCAATACTACAGACCGATACTTGCAGGGTACATACTTGGTACCTAAATGACCTAGGGTGCTTTCTGGGATCTTGCAGGAGTACATACAGGGTATGAACCCAAGTAGTGGTCTCTGCAGCACATAGGGMGAGTTTCTTGGCTGTGTGGACAGAGCTTGGCAATGCCGCAGCTTCTKGGTGGTGAAACTCACCAAGCTCAGAACGTCTCTGAATYATCTGGTGAATTAATCATCTGGTGAGCACGACGTGCTCTTGCTCTCAGTATGTAAAGCAGCACTTTCTTTATTTCATCCACMATTAAACAGAGACYGGCAGAGGAGGCTCTCAATGCACAAGAGCAATTTTGACGAGCATTTGACCTCAAAGTGCACAAGTGTCCATTTATAGGTACCAGTCATGTAGCTACCTTATGTTCTGCACACCCTGTAAGTAATGGGCTGTATTCTGTAAATCTGCTGTTTTTATTGACCAGTGAACTTTTCTTTTTAAACATCCAAACTAGATAACTTTGATCATTGTCTACTGCAGGTAATATWCTGACCACTTATAACCTGTACACAGAAGCTACTTCCTATTCTCTGTTTAATACTGAGYATTCTTCACAGAGTGTAAAGGGACACATATTGTACACGCTTTAACTTCATTTACAGTATATGCCTTACTCTGATTCTCATTTGACAACGAGGCTCCATCATGATGAGAGATGATGAAAAACTTTTTTACACTAATTTATCTCTTTTTGCTAAAAAATTCATCAGAACATAATTAGATTTTTGTTCTGTGGCTTTAAATGTTTTATTCAAATRTAATATAGAGTAGTAACAGACCTTTTCCGGAAGCTGTGAACCAGTTTGAACCTGATAGTTTAGATAAGTTTGGGGTTTTTTGGGGGGGAGGGGGTGGGGGGGATGAACAGAAGTCACTGTGCCAGAGTTTTCCCTATGGACAGGCCTTGCTCTAGTTCAGCTAAAATGCTAAATGTCCCCCGCTGCCCGAGGGCAGCAGCAGCAGTTACAGACACACCACATTTTGCTCACATACACATGAACTAACATCTAGTGAAAACTAAATCAGAGCACCTGTTTATATTTACTGCAGGAGCTTAAGTTTAATGAACTCGCTTTAGGAAATATAATCAATTCCAGCCCCAGACTCATTCAGTTATGCTATTTTTATTCCATTTCTAAGATAAGATTAATTACTGCTTTAAGTAATAAATTTTACTTATTTCCTCCTGATTGCAGCATAAAGCACAAATGATCTCAATGCTGTTGTTAAAACATGTTTTTATTGTCTTTAAGCAATCGTGATTGAAACAGAGAAAAAAATACTTTTATACTTTTAATGAGAATCATCAAGTTAGGAAAAGATTTATTTTTAGACTGATGCAATCTTATTTTGTTTTGTAGATGAAATCACAAGCTGCACATATCAGTTCTACTTTTTAAATTGTATTTGAATAAATTCTTGTTTGACTATTTATCAATGAGTGAATCAGACGAAACTTTCTTATTTTTTCAAAAAATAAATTTTCTGTGCAGGGATTTGTGATTTTATATTAGTTTTCCCTTCTTGTGTCATGTTTGCCTGCTCCTCAGTGTTCTTCTTCCTCTTCTTGTGGTGTTTAATGGCGGTTAGCAATAAACTGAAGTGTGCATTATTGTCACCTACTGGTATGGAGTGTGGTTCAATTTGATTATGTGTTCTTCCCTAGCTCCTCCCATTTACACCTGATCCTTGTTGTCTCTCCCCAGGTGTGTCTTGTTAGCCCTCGTTATCTCACCTGTTATATTGTTCTGTGCTCACTCCTGTCAATACTTTCTGTCATCTGTGGCCTGTTTATGGTTTGTCCATATTTTTGTTTTTGCAAAGAAAGTTTTTCTGTTGCCCCCTCAGCGTCCTTACTTTGCAAATAAATACTTTTGTTTTCTACAATTAAGTTGATGTTGTGCCTGCCTCCTGGGTTGAACCACTGCCTAACACTGTGAGTGATKTCTGTCTTAAAGGAGATAATAAATGAAGCATTTTCATTGCATTTTTAATTGAATGGTTCCGACTGAAGCTGCCACTTAAGGCCAATTTATACTTCCATCATAAAGTCTTGCTTACAATCTTGCATGATGAAAAATGGCGTTACTTCCATCTGTTACCTCCAGCTGATGCCCCGTCTCGTGCCTTGCCCCCAGTCAAAACTCCAAACTGTCCAAATTCAGGAGAAGCATCCATTAAAGGACCTGGCTTATWCCAGGTCTACATGGGCCGGGTCCTTTGTTGACCACAAAGACCGGAAGAAAGCGGCTGTGAATTTTGATGGTCTAGCCTTCAGTTTTATTCCCACCCTTACCCAGGCATTGATGTTACTAAACAGACATGATAAAGATAGAAATAAGCAAAAATTATAATATAGTAATGTTAATATTATAAATTAACAAAATTAGCTTTGAGGCAGTACACAAACTAACAGATGAGCTTGTTTACAATGATTTTTATAGTAATATAAAAAATATTTCTATTCAAAAAATAAAAAGCCTAACAACAAAACCCCTTTAAACTTTCAATTTTTGTACTGCCAATTTTTTTAAACTGTACTCCTGTCTCTCACTTCATCCACCATTACAAGCAAAAACTAGATAACGCATAGCTGTAACATAATGACCCCCGCATGCTGAAATGCACAGGAACTTAGAAGTCCTAATAAATGTCATGCTATCAGGTGCATCC